TATATATATATGTATGTATGTATGTATGTATGTATGGCTCTCACTGAAATACATTTCCAAATATTTTGCTTTTATGGCTCTCTTAGTCAAAAAGGTTCCCGACCCCTGGCCTAGAAGATAGCAGGCCAAAATACCTAACAACCAGTGCAGACGTGTGATTCATAGTTAAAGAAATCATTTGATTGCAGCAAACCCTCAAAAATTGGTGCAAAAGTAGATTCAATAAAATGTCCATTAAAATTTCAGTACATTTCAGCCTTCAAACATTTAGATGAGTGTCGGTGAGCGCCGTCAGCAAAATGTGTCTTGCACCATTGGTCCGAGTGAGCTGTCTCTGGGCAGTTTTCCGTCATTTCAACTTGAAATTGGCGTTGGCTGTCATTGACATTTGAAAACTCTGATTGACAGTTGGTTGTTGTTCTAGCGGAGCTTCATCTGATCCAGCAAAGAAGTTCAAAATATTTGAGCCAAAGAACAGACTTGATGAAGGGGATCCTTGAATTTGACAACATAATCAAGAAGGTTATTTACTTCCGTATTGGATTTTGCCAGTTGCTCTGTGAGAATCTTAAAAGGACCTCTCAGTGATTGTCCAAACAAAATTGGCAAAACAGAAACCACCACTCCTAGCCAACAAGCAAGGACATGCTGTACATGCATTTCTCTTCTAAAACCTAAAAAAGCGGATTGTTCTTGAGACAATCAGAAGAACAGTGTAGTCGTACCTTCATTTATGAGTTTCATACGTTCCATGACTCGGCTCATAACTCCAAATCGTAGAATCGTCATCAAGCAAATTTCCAACTTTGGTGCAGTTCATTTGGACAGTTGTGAAAGCAGCAAACTGCTGTGAACAATATCAACCTGTCTAAAACCCTGTTGATTTGTTTTGTAACAAACTTTACATGGTCTCTGTTGGGGAGACTATTTGGCTGGATTGTAAAAGGTGTGTACAGTGCACCAATTGTGTATTCGTCAGAATACAGCATACGTGCTCTCCTGAGTTTCTTTACTTAGACCAGGGGTGCCCAAACTTTTTGGACCGAAGATCTACTTTTCGATCAACTACCCTCCCGGGATCTACCCTTACCGGCACGCGCGCACACGCACACACACACACACACACACACACACAAACACACAGAAACACACACACACACACCACAAACACACACACACACACACACACACACACACACACACACACACGCCATGATGAGAAACAGCCTGAAACTGAGGCATGCGATGCACTTTTGCAGCCTGTTAACTATCGTAGCTCACACGTACCGTTTTAAAGTGCTTCCCTGGGCCTTCCTAGATTCCTATTCGTTGCCCGTGCCCTCAGTGAATTGTACACGAAGCAAACTCGGAATGAGAATAATGACGATAAAACATAGAGCGCAACAGCTCTGATCACAAGCTGCAATAGCAGACTGCTGAGCGCTAACTACTTCCGGTGACGTAATCACGCGCCACCGGAAATTCAAGATTTACCTGCTTTATTTTATTTTATATATTATAATAAAAATATATATATAGATTTTTTTTTTTTGTGAAAATGAGACTGATAGGATGATTAGGGTGCAGCGTACATTAACACAAAAATATATTACTAACATGTACAAAGACACACAAATGTTTTTTTTTTTTTTTTCTCCTCGACACTCCTCTGATCTACTTGGGACCTGTCTTAGATCTACCAGTAGATAAGGATCGACGTAATGGGCACCCCTGACTTAGACAGTTGTCAGATGATGGTTCACAGATGATAAGACAACAGTTGATGTAGTCAATTATCCCGGTTTTAGCTGCAGCCAGGTGTCTACAACTTCATATTTCTCTTTCACACACAATACTGTATAAGGATATAGAACTAACATACCAGCTATAAATGTGCATCCATCCATCCATCCATTTTCCGATCCGCTTATTCTCACAAGGGTCACGGAAGGTGCTGGAGCCGATCCCAGCCGTCTTCGGGCAGTAGGCGGGGTTACCCTGAACCGGTTGCCAGCCAATCGCAGGGTACATAGAGAACAACCATCCACGCTCACACTCACACCGAAGGACAATTTCAAGTGTTCAATCAGCCTGCCATGCATGTTTTCGGAATGTGGGAGGAAAACGGAGTAACTGGAGAAAACCCACGCAGGCCCGGGAAGAACATACAAACTCCACACGGGGAGGCCGGAGCTGGAATTGAGCCCGGTACCGCTGCACTGTGAGGTTGACGTGCTAACCACTTGACTACCGGGCCGCATAAATGTGCATATAAAATGCAAAAAAGAACATACCGTAAATTCCGCATTACAAACCGCTACTTTTTTTCCACACTGCGGCGTGTAATATGAAGCGACTTTTTAATTTTTTTTTTTCCATCGCGGGAAAAACATGGACCAATAAAATGAATGAGTCTTTCACTGAGGTCCAATGAGATTGTATGACTAATCACAACTTCCGCTCTTTTTGCCGTAGCGGGGGGGGGAAAATGTGTGCAGTCGACCAATAAAATGAATGAGTCTTTCACTGAGGTCCAATGAGATTGTATGACTAATCACAACTTCCGCTCTTTTTGCCGTAGCGGGGGGGGAAAATGTGTGCAGTCGACCAATAAAATGAATGAGTAGTACACAGGGGTCCAATGAAATTGTATGATTACCGGTAATCACAACTTCCTTATTTCAGCCTTTCTTCTAACCCTGATCAACATGGAGAATACCAGACGAAAAGCATATGATGCAGCTTTGAAACTAAAAGCGATCACTCTGGCAGTTAAAGAAGGAAATCGAGCTGCTGCCCGTAAGGCGTAGAAAAAAAAGTAAGTGTGTTTCCGGTAACCCGACCGACCGAGAATTTCTACGTCGAAAAAAAACTTTACGGTCGGCATTTTTTTCAAACAACCCTCTACATTTTTGTGTAGAGGGTTTACATTGGTGCAAACTCTCGCTATATTCACGTTGAGCGCGTGCGTCGTTTGCCCTGTCGTCTGTCAACAACATTAAAACATGGCGGCGGCCGCGATCTCCGACGACAGTTTAAACCGCGTTTTCTTACAGTCGCAGGCTCGCACCGTAATGTTAAGAAAATAGCATCCATTGATGTATCGAAAAAAT